TGTGGCTGGGTGGGTAGTTGTGGATGGATGAGGATGGGCGGTTGGGTGGTGGTAGTGGGCGGGTGGGTGTGGCTGGGTAGGGGTGGGTGATTGTTAGGTGGTGGGTAGGTGGCTGGGTGGGGGTGGCTGGGTGGGGTGGCTGGGTGGGGGTGGCTGGTGTGGTGGGGGTGTATAGATGCGGCTGAGTGTTAGGTGGGTGGGCGGGGGTAGGTGGATGTTGTGGTTGTGGCTGGTTGTTGGGGTGGGTGGGGGTAGTTGGTAGGGATAGGTGGTGGAGGTAGGTGGTGGAGGTAGGTGGTGAGGTTCAGTGGGTGGGTGTGGTTGGGTAGCTGGGTGGGTGTGGTTGGGTAGCTAGGTGGGTGTGGCTGGGTGGGTGGGGTTGGGTGATTGGGGGTGGCTGGTTTGGGGATTAGGGGTGGGTGGGGTTGATGGGGGTGGGTGGTTGGGTGTAGCTAAGTAGCTGGTTGGGTGTGGGTAGGTGTGTATAAATATGGCCGGGTGGAGGTAGGTGATTGTGTGGCTGGGTGTCTAGTTGGGTATGGCTGATCGGGTGTGGCTGAATGTGGCCGGGTGGCTGGTCGGGTGTGGCTGGGTGTCTGGTTGGGTGTGGCCGGGTGGGTAGAGTATGGCTGGGTGGTTGGTGTGGGTTTATGGGGTGTGGCTGGGCGATTAGGTGGGTGGGGGTAGGTAGTTGGGTGTGGCTGGGTGGGTACTGGTAGGTGGTTGCGGCTAGTTGGGTGGGTGGGGGTAGGTTGTTGGGTGAGTGGCTGGGTGGGGGTGGCTGTGGCCGGGTGGGTGGGGGTGGGAGAGGTTAGGTGATTGGGTAGGTGGAGGGTGGGGCTGGGTGGTTAGGTGGCTGGTTAAGTATGCCTGGGTGAGGCTGGGCGGTTGGGTGTGGCTGGGTGAAAGTGGGTGAGTGTATGTGGTTACGTGGGTAGGCGGGTAGGTGGCTGGGTGGTTAGGTGTGGCTGGCTGCTTGGGGTTGGGTAATTGGGTGTGGCTGGGTAGCTGGGTGTAGCTGGGTTGCTAGGTGAGTGGTTGGGTGTGGCTGGGTGTGGTTGGGGGCGGATGGCTGGATAGGTGTGCTGGTTGGGTGAGGATGGGTGTGGCTGTGGCTGGCTAGTCGGGTGTGACTGGATGGTTGGTTGGGTGTAGGTGGCTTGTCGGGATGTGGTTGGGTGTGGTTGGGTGGCAGGGCGACTTGTCGGGGTGTGACTGTGTGGCTGGTTGGGAGTGGTTGGGTGTGACTGGGTGGTTGAAGAGGTGTGGAGGTGGCTGGGGTTGGTGGTTAGGTTGTGACTGGGTGGTTGGGTGGGGGTAGGGGTGGCTGGGTGTGTTTGGGTGGCTGAGTTGGTAGTTTGATGTCCCTGGGTGGTTGAGTGGGGGGTGGGGGTAGCTGGGGTGTGGCTGGGTGGTTGGGTTTCTAGGTGGTTAGTTGGGTGTGGTTAGGGGTAGGTGGTTAGGCATGGCTCTGGCTTGTTGGGGGTGGGTAGTTGGGCGTGACTGGGTGGGTGTGGCTGGGTGATTGTCTAGTTGGGTGGGTAGCTAGGTGTGGCTGGGAGGGCTGGGGGGTAGTTGGGTGTGGCTGGTTGGATGAGGGTAGTTGGTTGTGACCGGTGGGGGGTGGCCGGGTGTATTTAGGTGGTTGGGTGTCTGGGGGGGGGGTATAAGGGGAGTGACTAGGTAGCTGAATGAGCTAGAAATGCTATGTTTACTGCATGTATTTCTCTATGCATCTATTCATTTTTCTTCAAATACATGTTCTGAAGTGTCATTGAAACTTTGCCGATTTTTTTTTTTACATTGCACAGTCTCCAGTGAAAGTGACTGTGCATGTTTTGGGAGGAAAAAAGGAAAAACAGCATAAGTTGTGCGAGTGTTTGGGGGGGAGGGAAAGAAGAAAAAGCGGCGTGCGTTGCTGTGTTTGGAGCGGAGAAATGGAAGAAATTTTTTTTTCTTTCTTTTTCTCAGGGTAGCCATAAAACAGAGATCATAATTTTTATTAGGGCGGTAATTGTATCATTACCAATGAATATAACGATAACACCAGCCACAATAACATCAATAAATATAATGACAACAGTTACAAAAATAAAACAAATGATAATGATAAGAATAATAACAGCTACAAAGATAGTGATAATGGCAATAATACTAATAATAACGAAAACAATAACACTATTTGAAGCCTTTATTTCCACTTCACTCACTCGGCGATCCTTCCGTCTCTCGTTTGGAGTGCCACTGAGTCGAAGTCACTTTGACTGGTGAAGTCACTCTGACTGGTGCTGAGGAGTGTACTATGGTGGTGAAGGTGGTGGTGGTGGTGATAGTGATGGTGGTGGTGATAAAGGTGATGGTGGTGGTGGTAAAGGTGATAGTGATAAAGGTAATGGTGGTGATAGTGATGGTGGTGATAGTAATGGCAGCGGT